AATGTGTCCTGGCAGGAAGCCATTTGCCTCTGCTACATATGACAAGGAAATTTAATGGTCTGTCAGGATTGTCAAAGGGGTGCTTTTGGTGAAGGCTTCTTTGGATCCTTATTTCTAAATGCAATTTTTTCATAATACTATACAAATATCATGGACTTCGCTATTCTAAATACATGATATGAAAATTTTGTTTATATGTTTATACTTAACTAGATATCGCCTTTATACTTACAGTCCATTTAATCTTAAATAATTTTTCATGGTTGCTTTAACAGGGAATTGCACTGATTATGACAGTTCTACAGATTGTACATGTACCAAATCTCAAGGTAATTATTTGAGCTCACATTATTATGTTTGTGCTGTGCTTTATGTTAGCCATGATAAAATTATTCTTGAATTCTGTCACTTTTCAGTAGAAGCCATTGAATGGGCCTTTCTTTTTATACATCTTTTACTGGGAAGAAATTAACTAACAACGTATTTAAATTGTATCTGGTGTTGCATTACCTCTATGTTTAATTACTATTTGCTCAGCAAGCACTCCCTTCTATAGTTTGTCAAGTTAGAGAAGTTGTCTTGATATATTTATGCTACAGGAAATATTTTTTAAAGAAAATCATGGTCTTGTTATGCGGTGGCTTATATTAGCATGTTGGGGAACACATGAAGATAATTGGGATCGGCTTTTGACATGATTTACATTTGGATTACCTACTTTGATCCTTGTTTTTTTTTTATTTTTTTTATTTCTTAGTTGTACCAAAGAAAGCTAAAATGGTATAATTGGGCTGAATTGATTGTTAACCAAGTTTCAAAACACGTAATTTTTAAGACTTAAAAAAAGTGTCTTTTACATGCTACTTTTGATAAGCACTTGGAAAACTCATCCTCAAAAGTGGAGAACCGAATACTTAAGCATTCAACCGAACATCTTTTATCACTCAACGTGGGACTTATATGCTCCATAATACCAAGTTCCTATCACATCAATACTACTATCACCACCAACACTACTACTATTGACTATTGTTGCAACCAAGGTCATCACAAAAAACTAGAGCAAATCATAAAACTTAAATTGGTTTTATTTTCTTAAAATTTTGGAACTTGGCAACCATCCCAAATAGGCCCCAAGATACTTAAGTTGAAATATTGACTGTTTCCTGAATTAGGTTGGTACTGTTCTTCTCGGCTGTGCTTTCATCTACGACATCTTTTGGGTGTTTGTCTCAAAGAAGTTCTTCAAGGAAAGTGTCATGATTGTGGTTAGTACTATGCACCATTCTATTGCATGACAATCACTAAGACTATGTATTTACTTATTTTAATTCTGCTTACTTTTTCTCATAGGTAGCCCGAGGTGATCGAAGTGGAGAAGATGGAATTCCAATGTTACTAAAATTCCCACGTATTTTTGATCCATGGGGTGGCTACAGCATCATAGGTTTTGGAGACATCCTTTTACCTGGAATGCTGGTGGCATTCTCACTCAGGTTTTCTTTCCTCCCTCTTGCATATGACTTGTGTCAACGCAAAATTTGATTTTAATAACAGTTTCCAGATTTCATGAATTGGAATCTTTGCTTCAGTATTTTTCCTAGAAAATGTTTCCAGGATTTTTTCTTTCACAATAGCAACCTCAGAAGGTAGAACAAAGGAAATTTGAGATCTTAAGACTTAAAATACTGTTTTGGTGAAGCAAGGACAAGTTCTAGATGCGGAAAAAGCTTTTCTGATAAAAATGGTACGTGTTTTCAGGTACGATTGGCTTGCAAACAAGAGCCTTAGAGGTGGATATTTCTTGTGGGCAATGCTTGCATATGGCTTTGGTGAGAATCAAATACCAATCGCCTTGTCTGTTTACTTCAGTAACATTTTTTCTTCAGCTATTAGAATCAAATAATTTTTTTCCCTTAAAGTAGGATACCTGACATGCATGGTTATTTCTTAGGTAGTGTAAGTATTACTGGGCTACGGAAAGTTTGTTAAATAGCCATTTTTAATCATTGATTTAAAGGTTACATACGCATGTTCTGACTTTTTTCCTAATGTTGCAGGTCTTTTAGTTACGTATGTGGCACTAAACTTGATGGACGGACATGGCCAACCAGCACTACTTTACATCGTTCCATTTACTCTTGGTACTTTTTATGGAAACTATTATTTTGTTACGGTTTCCTATCAAGATAAAAAATCATTGAAACCATAATCTATCTAGAAAAGGTGCTTACTCTTTTGCATGCATGGATTACTGCAGGAACCTTGATGACATTGGGGCAGAAGCGAGGAGATTTGAAAGGTTTGTGGAGAAATGGAGAACCTCAAAAACACTGCCCACATTTAAGACTCGAAAACAGTGGAGAATTAAGCCCTGAATGAAGTTGTAACATTTTTTGTACCTCTGTACCTTACAAAGCCTTAATTATTAGCACCAACCCCCTTTAAACAAACCAGGGGACTCATTTATAGAAACACTCTACATTTAGTGTAGAGTTTGTTACAATAGTGCTGCGTAGAAATCGCTTATGATTATACTTCTTCCTTTCCAATCCAAAATTGATAATTAATGTTTTTATTATATACATCAAAAGAAACTATTTCAAAAGAAACTATTTCAAGACATGGATGGGAGTCAATTTTATTAAAATGTTTCAAGACAGTAGCCTTTTTTTTAAAGAAAAAAAAGAAGACACGTTTTAATATTCCATTGACAGATCAACATCAATAAAAGGAATATGCAGGGAATAGTATATAATAAACAACACTTAACAGTAATCCTTTGACAAAGATGGCCTATAATGTGAATGCTGATGATGGAACCTAATGTAATAATGTGAACCCTATGAATAATTATATATTAAAGATATTTAGTGTTATGCCAAATTAAAAGTTGTTAAATAGTATTAAAAGTATTTAATTTGTGAAGTTTTGTTATATAAAGTTATTTTTGCAATAAAATCAACAATTTTATTTCTCAATAACAACGAAGTCTAAAGATATAACATCAACATCAAGTTCTTTGTTGTTAAAAAAAGAGCTCAAATTGTATGAATGTCAATATTGCACACTGATATAATGATTAATGTTAATCATTTGTGTTTATATTGATTGGTTTAGCTATGATAAATGAAGCAAAGACTACTATGATATGATTATATGATTGTTACACTAAATTGACTAAATATACACTGGCTAAAGTATATAATCATGAAGTTACATATATAGTCTAAGTGAAAAATTGTTGGATCCTTAATCAAACATTGGTCTTATATATAATAATTACATATTAATATTAAGGACACCTATTGTTACTCTTATGCCAAATAAAAGTGATCAAATAGTAATAGGTAAATATAAATGCTAAAGGACGATCTTATATGTTCAAAAATAAGCTAGTTAGGTCCCAATATCACATTGTATTCTTCCAAAAATAAGCTAGTTAGGTCCCAATATCACATTGTATTCTTCTATAAAGAGAACATGTGTTGATTTGAAAAGTCAAAGCGCTCCACTCTTATCATTTTAAATTCATATATGTTTTTGCTTTTAATTTTGATGATTAATATGATAAATTCAAGATTATATAAACGTTAGTTTTTTATTTATCGAATACTTAAGTTTATATTTGTTTTTAACAAAACTTTCTTGAAATGTGAAATAATTCATTATACTAAAATTTGATAGAATTCTCTATTTATTATACGTATGTCATATTGTTTACTATACGTATGTTACATTATAGGTCATGAGTCAAAATAGACTTCCCTTTAAATCCTAACCAAATAAAGAATAATTATTATATATAAGTTTATATCTAATGTAAAATTTTTAATATATATTTTCATATTAAGAACTTATTGTATCGTATTAATAATATCTAAAGATTACAAATGAGATAATAGATTAAACAAACTTGAGTGACAAAATAGATTAAACAAACTTGATCTACGATGAATTTTAATACATAAAATTTAAATATAATTTAATCTTATAAAATCAACTCAAACTCGTTAAAATGAAATTTAATTTAATTTATATATTATAAATTGATTTTATTTGAAAAATATTAAATATTAAGTATTAAAGAAATTAACATGAAACCATTTATTATTGTTATTATATATATTATTAAAATGGAGAATATCAAAAAACAATGTGACCTACAATAATAAATTAATAGCTTAGGGATATAACGGTATGAAAATGAAAGTAATAAATTGGTAAGACAGCTTAGGCACCCGCCCCTACACTTATCTTCGACCGACACAATGGTCTTGGTGTTACTCGTTATTAAATGTAACTCAATAATTTAGTTACAAAATTCAATGTTGGAAAACAAAATGTACCCACAAATTAGAAGAAAAGAGGCACCAAGTGGAAACATTGAGCGAAGCAATCAAGAACACATCTCATGCCTTTTTCTAATTCTCATTTTTCTATAGATTTTTTATTATTTAATCTTATTCAGCTACCGTATACTGATACAATGCATCTAAGATATCATAAAAAGTTAATTAATTAATTAATTAATTAAAGTATAGAATTAATGGTTATTTAATTATACTGTCTATGGCAATCGTATCAAATGGTTAGAAAAAAATACTAGATCCGATTGATTGAAGAGAATAATTCTTCATCTGTTTACGTAATTTAATCCTAAACAAAAGATTAATTATTCAATCAGTATCTGAAGAACATCCCGCAGTTAAGTTAATTAACGTATCAGTGCCATCTTTTGCTCAAACTATTATGTTTTGTAATCTATAATTAGTAATTTATTAATTGTACACGTGATTATTTATCTTACGCTTCAATAAATATTATTTTTTAATTATTGAGAAAAAAAATCTTAAATCTAAACGACTGCATGAAATCCTGTATATTAAATAAATTATCACTAACTCCACTCTTAATAAGACGAGTGCGAAGAAAATGGAGAGTAAATATAACTATCAGTAAATTAAAATTAGCATTAATTGCTACGAAAACATCAATTTAAATATTTCTCACTTTTTGAACTGTAAGAACATTGCTAAAATGTTTGAACTGTCAGTAACAGTAAAAAAAGAAAAAACATTATTGGTTGGTTATTGGTAACCACTGTCTTTATGTCAACTATATTACACTTACACACAGAAAGGTTAACAGGTGTGAAGAATGTAGATGCTATAAATGTAAAGCATTTCCTAATCTAAAGTGGGTTTACCTGAAAATTTGATTACTAGTCTGCAAAACTCACCTTCATTTCGGGGCCAGCAAGTTCAAAAAATATTCCCATCACTGTATTGTTGTTAGATCTACCAACGTAAAATTCTTAGCAGCAATGGCACCAAAGTCAAAACCCAAAGGCTATGTTAAGTAACAGTCACCAAACTAAGAGAGTCCTCATTGGCTATTGGCCAACCCCATCGGGAAGAAAGACCAATTCTTGGAGGATTCTACTTCCTTGCTTGCAACTTTCTCATTAGCCCACCACTCAATAACTAAATTCGGCCCAGGAGAATCCCCTCCTTCTGCATTATCAAAGTTGAATTCTTTCGGAGAAGAAAATGTTACACTTTCATCCTTGTGATGAACACTTTCCACATCTCCATCGTTTGCGATCTGCTGGGGGACATCATTGTGAGTTTCGCTCACGAGGGCTTCTCTTGAATTGTCTTCTTTTTCTGGTCCTGGTGTATCAGTTTTGAATGGAAGCGATTTAGTCGATGTCACTGCCTTGTTTTCCACACATTTCAATACTTCCTGGGAAGACACTTCGATAGAGAGGCTGTGATTTACACTAATCTCATTGGGGCGATTTTTTCTTGGATGTGGAGACCTTATGACCTCAGAAACCCAGTGACTAGGAAGAAAAGCAGCTTGAGTTGTGGATCGTATAGAATCCGGGGTGAGAGAGCCAGAGCCTTGACGTGACTTGTGTTTTTCACGAGCAGACAGTTTATCAATGTTTAAAAGCTTGGTAGGGTCACCCGTTGGAAAGTCAAGAAGGATGGAGCCACGAGAAGAGAACTCAGCATCAGGGAAAGGAGATGAGGTGCCAGAAGCTGAGAAAGCTGATCTTGGTGAAATGAGTTGACCAACAGGGCTTCCAGGTTGAAGCTGATAGGAGTGGAAGTCATATAGAGATCTTTGGAACCTTTGATAGGTATCGGCATTTTTGTTGTTGGGATCAAGCAGTTGAGCAAACGGCACTTCAGGTGAAGAAGGTGTGGTCAAGTAGACAGATTCGGGAGGTGGAGTGAAGGGAGCGGTTGAAGGTTCAGTGGTGAATGTCGAGAAAACGGGTGGTGAAACTAATTGTGTTTCGTGGGCATATGGTCCAATGGCGAAGATAGATAAAGGACCACCGGGAGAGTACATGCTGGCAGACACAGAAGTGAGAGATAGGATACCACCTGGGGATTGAGCAAGAGAAGGAGGTTCTGAGTTGAGGAAAGATACAGGAGACGATGGAGGTGCGGCGAAGGGGAATGGAATACCAGGTGCAGCTGTTGAACCTACTGCTGCAGCAGTAGCATCTGCAGCAGAAGGTGTGCTTACGGGAACAAGGACTGCATGCCCAATTCGCTTTTGGTTTTTGCGGTGTCCAAAACACCAATATATGCTCAGCCAGCTTCCCCAGGTTTTCTTCTACAACCAACAAAACTTGAGTTAATTTTCAGTCATAGAAGACGCCACAAGTATGCCCAGCAAGAGTTTATGAACCAATGACTGCAGGATGAGGAAAGTAAGAAAACAAGACACTGAATTTCTCATTCACGGCATGACGGGGTCCAGACTGCATAGGATAAATACTATTAGCCTGCATCTAGACATCACCATTCCGGAAATCGACTCTGTGCGCAAAAACATGCAGAGTCTAATTCTGGTTAAAAGAATGAGATTCTAAATCATATGGCATTCGCTGGAATGGAACCAGTTTTGAGTTGTAGAAAATATAGAGACATGCCAGTTCTCTCGAACAATCGGATCACCGTTACATAATAAATAAATAAATCAGTATATTGAGAAAATAAATAAACGGTGAAACAAAAATGGAATGTTTCTCCACTATACCACATCAAACATAATATCATACACAGTTCTGCTTTAACCCTTAATGTATGTGACGTTGAATCGTTCAACCCAAGAAACAATTTTTTAAAATATCATTATTTTTGGATAGGAGATGATCATAACTGGTAAAGCAATCAGAGCAGAGCAACATTGAACAAAAGAAATGAAGTTTTGCATAATAGAATCTGATCAAGGAAAACAGAGCGAAGAAGGAACAGAGAACCGAAAGGTCTGAAGCATAAAAAAGACCAAATCCACATCTGTAGCAAAAACAAGTGATTATAGTATGAATGATTTATGTATTTTACCTGGACGTGAGGAAGAGATTGATTAATGCGATCGTCTACCGAAGCGATGGCAGTTGCAGCAGCGTTGATAGTCTCCAAAGTGTTGTTAACAGCTCTCATCTCTGCCTCTTGTTTTAGGATGGATAAAGAAGCAGACTAGCAGGGAGAAGGGGATTAGATGTTTCTAAATTTACATAGAGAAATGAAAAGCTGAGAAAAGTCGGAGGAGACTAACTGAAAATAAAATGAAAGTTTGATATGTATAGTTTATATATATGAATCGTGAAATTTGGGGGAGAGAAAAAGGGAGAGAGAGTGTATTGATGTTGAAGAGGTCAAAACACGGCAATGACTGACTAACTCGATTTGGTTTGGTTTGATTGGTGCTAATGTCATGTCAAGTGATTAACCAAGGAAGACCAGATGAGGCTTTACTATGCTACATAGGATCGTAATAATATTAAAACGGTACATCACATGATGTTTGGTAGTAGTATTGGGTGATGGTATTAAAGTGAAAGGAACTTACTCAACCGTTCCCTTGACTCTCTTATTCTCTCTTTGCATAGCATACCCATTCTTCTACTTCCGGGGGTACCTTGGTATAAATGCCAAAACGTGACACCTAGTATTAGTATAGTATATGTAATGTTGTTGTGTTGTGGCCGCCACACAAAACAACAAGAAAGGAGTCATTAGTGGGTTACTGTTCCCAAATAATGAAGTCCGTGTGCACGTGTGTTAGCGTTCACCCATTTCTCCAGTCCTTTCTTTCGGGCTCCACCGCACCCAAATATCTTCTTCCTCTTAATTCTCTAGATCTCTCAGATTTTTCCCTAACTAATGCTTTTCTTCTTTTCTAAACAATATCACTTTTTTTATCAAATCCTTCTTCGTTTCTTCGGATTCCGGATCTCAAACCAGCGTCACATATTTCCTTTTTCTTCTTTTTCACATTAAATTATCGTGCCAACATGCCAAATTGGAAATCAACACTAAAGCAGCTTTTCTCGACTTTTAAACGCCAGCTCAGTTTGCCAAGGTAAGTTGTATCGATTACCACATTTTTTCTATCTCAGAATTCTTTTTTTTTT